GAACCAACGCACCCACCCAAATCATCTGGCACTTTTGGCTAGTACTTCATATGAAAACACACAAGATGGCAGCATCAGAACAAGATAGTTTTCCATACTTAAAATTCTTATTTGAAGATTAATATTTTCTAGTTGAATTCCTGTTCTGTAAATGTACTTGTCCTAGGGGACTGAAAAAATTCTACACTGAGACTCTGCAGCATCCACTAGTGGGGCAGAAAAGCATTTAAGACTATGTAGAAGAAAATGTAGTAGCCTAAATGTTGCATATTGTTTTCAGATAACTGGCTCCTAAGTACTCTACACTCCAGTGCATGGAGAGAGTTATATACCATCTTTCTGCTATTTGAAACAATCCATATACTAAACAGACTCCTGAGGAATTGGCTAATAAGAAGTTATGCCTAAAATACAGTTCTACTTCAGAGCTTAGACTGTTTACTCTGAGTTAGATTTATACCTTTACTGTGAAGGAGGGTATCTCCCCTTGTCCTGTCTAGCTTAGAACTTGGTGTTGCCATACTTCGTGGGAGGTATGAATTTCAGTGCTATGGCAGTTCTCCCATCTGCATCCAGGTTTCTTAATTCTTGTAAGATATTCTAATCAAAAAGTTGTTATGCAAAAGGTGATGTCTTCTCCAGTCTCTTAAAAGAAACTGCGCACAACTGACTTTTCTATGAAGTTTTGCGTCACTGGGCTTAGGCATAAGATACATAAGTCACAATATGCTTGGATTTAGGCAGCTATCGATACAGACTAAATGAGAACTCTGGGTGCCTCCAGGAATTGAGCACAATTGTGAGAAGCTTTCTTTTTAAGGCTAGATATTGCTTATTTGGTTGCATCAGTCCCCCTTGAGTCTACCTTAGCTGGCAATACGGATCCAGTCTTTAACTGTCTCTTAATTATCTGCTGTGCAAATATTAGATTGTATTCAACACAAAACATGGCAGGTTATTCAGGACCAGATACAGCAGTTTACAAATGCTGGGAAGGACATTTTCTTCACACTGCGATACAGTTTTCATGGAATTAATTTTTTTTAAATACTGCAGTACATGAATGAAATGTGGATTCTAGGGAAGATTCTAGAAAGCAGTTAGTAAAGATGGGAAAGGAATCAAGAAATTGCACTTAAGAGGGAACATTGAATATTATCAAAGCTAAAGATTGTTTTAAACTGAAAACTTGGGAGTTATGGATCAGTTTTGTTAACTGGAAAGCTTCCATAATATACTTTGCATTAAAGTATTTATTAGCAGTGTAAATTTTTTTGTTTACCCAAAATGCAATTTCAAAGTAGTTTTCTAATATTTATTTACTATAAAACTTAAGCAGGATTTGTGTGTTGAAAAGCCATTTTATTTCAAGATTTTTTTTGTAAAGAAAGTTTTGACCCTTCCTGCAGGGTCAATTTCTCTTTCAGATGGAGTATGTATTTAAATAATTCTGGAGTTTGTGTTCAGGCCTATTTATGCCATTCTCTTTGTCAAAAAAACTCAAGCTCAGGTTTTTTGTCTTATTGTTTTCTTTTAGCAAGAAAAATTATTGATTTTAAACTGGGTTGTTCCAACTCTGAAAATTCAGTTACTGTTGAAGCACGGGTGAACATATTTGTGCTTTAGCAGAGTAACAATTTCCTCAAATAATGAGAATTGTTCCTACAAAGCCTGGTATTGAAACAAGTCTTTACTGTAGTTGTGACGGCTTAAACAATACTCCCCTGCCCCACGTTCCAGAAGCAGTGATTTACATGTGTCTGTTTTCCATAAGCGATGACTTCTTGCTTCCTAACAATTTCTCCTTCCTCCCACCCTTTCTCACACTATATGCGGCAGTTGCATTAACTCTGAGATAGTCTGTGATTAACCATTTAAAACAAATGTTTCACAATTGTATTTGTCTTTGAAGATTGCTGCTCCTATTTCAGCCCTGAGAAAGGCTTTTTGTGCTGGAAGGCTTGTCTGTCTTTTTCCAGCGCTATATATTTTTTTTTCTCTAAAAGGTATTACCCGTCCCTATGATCCTTGCTTCATTTGAAGTTTAGAAATTGATAGGGTGCAACCTGGCAAATAGTAAATTCCATTTCCTATTAAGCTGACATCCTTTTAAAATAGAGAGTATATGCTGAAGAGGAAGAAATTTAATTATAAAGCAGTAAGATCAATATTCAGGATGCTTACATGTCTCCTGAGTTTAAATAAAAAATTTGGAACACCTTCCTGAGATTAGTAGAATAGCTGTCTTCAGCATATTTCTAGGAAAAAGACATTTCATGACTTTCTTGAAAGGCAAACTGACCAGCCTAGCTCATAAAGGCTATACTTTGCACTATATTCACCTCTGCAGTGATTTTCATCCCAAGGGTATGCACAGTTTTGAATGCCATTGCAGACTAAAGAATTATTGATGCACATGTTGCTATGGCAGAAGTAAGTGTTGCCTGAGCAGGGAGCTGCAGGAGAGAAGAGAAAGAAAACATTAAGAATTTTCAGTAATTGATGCATTGCAATAAAACTAGCAAATTCCTGTTATTTTTTTTTTAACATGCATGCTCATTCTTCATCTGTTCCAAACAAAATCACTTTACTTGCACATCACTAATTACAGGATGATGTACCCTTTCTTCATGTGGTTGCTTTCAGGTGTATTATCAATGCTACAAAAAAAATTCTTGCTCAAAATGGGTAGCAGATAGACAGTCACACAACAGATAATGGAAGATGGCTTTAATACTTATCTTTAAAAACTTAATACTTAAAAATCGCATGCTCACCATCAATTTTATATTTATTCAGCCTGCTGTGCATCTGCTATGTAGATATTGTGAAGCAGTTCCTGAACATCTGCATTTTAGAGCCCATTAATATCTTAAGGCAAATCAGATTTCAGCTTGTGGAGGACTGTTTCAGTAATTGCAAGAGATTTCAGTAACTGGAGGCATCTAAGTCATTTCTGCTTGTGAATCAAAGCTCTTAGATCCTCCTATTAGAGCTAATGCAGGGATTGAGAGAGTACAGTTTAGCTTTTTATCTATATATAGTTAGAAATAAGAAGAAATAAATTAACTAGAAAGTTGCCCTAAAGATTTTGTGTTTCCATGAATGTTTGTTATAGCTCCTTGACATTAGAAAAATACATTAAGAAAATAGTAATAATTCTTTTCAGGCTGTTGTATAATATACATAGGAAATTCTTTATGAATTCAGGGCATTAGACAATAAATTGATTTTTCCCTTTGTCTCAGTAATGTGGTATTTTTATGATAGAAATGTCTATTATTAGTGGAGTCAGTTATATATTAAACAGCAAAGGTGTGTGATAGACATTCTACTATTTTGTTTCATAGAAAGAATTTATTCTTGAGCAGTCTGGGTTCTCTGAAACATAATGCGAAACCCAAAGGGTACAGCAGAGGAGGGTGACTAGTCCCGACTACAACATGTTTCTCACTTATTCCTTCTGTTAGGCTTCAGAGTCACAGTGACAAAAAGAGGAGTTATGCCTAAGAGAAAAGAAAATTCAGACCTTTAATTCTGAATTTACATTCCCTAAATCTAACATGCATTTTCTTCCCACTTGCTACTCCACTGAATTTTGGTAACCTATGCTTGTTGGTTTTAAGCTTTTGTATTAGCTTCCTGTTATTGCTTAACCCCTGGCAACCTGGCAAGAAGTTCCATATAGGAAGCTTGTACTTTAATTGTAGCGCAAGTGCTGTAGTACAGAATGTATTTAGAGTGTATTTTGAAAGAGTTTATCTATGTCATTTCAGCATTTAAAAATGTCACAGTAGCTATCGCATGTATCTTGCTTGCTCAACCTAGCTGAGAATTTAATTGTCTGGCAAGTAGATCTAGTCTGAAGAACATGGCTTTAAAGTATGATCAATACTTATTAGGAAGGTATAGATCATACCCATTATATCAGTTATGAATGAGATGTCATGTTAGGTGCAAGCATGGTCAGGTGCACTGGGAGGAATACAGACAGTCAGTGTGCAGGGATGGGGCTGGGAAAACCAAAGCCTACCTGGGGCTGAAGATGATGAGGGACGTGAAAGGCAACAAGAAGGGCTTATTCAAGTGTATCAGCAACAACAGGAAGGCCAAGGAAAATACAGGCCTACTACTGAATGGGACAGAGTGGAGCTTCCCTCGATGCCTGGGAAGGTGATAGAACAAATAATCCTGGAAGCCTTTTCCAAATGTATTAGGGATTAAAAACTGGGAGTGGTCAGCATGGATTTACGACGAGGAAATCATGCTTGACCAACCTGATTGCCTTCTATGATGAAATTACTAGCTTAGATGAGGAGAGTGGTGGATGTTGTATTACTTTGACTTTTTTTATTGTGTTATTTTTATTGTATTATTGACTTTTTTTGTTGTATTATTTTGACTTTAGCAAGGCTTTCAAAACTGTATTCCACATCCTTGTAGAGAAACTGATGAAGTACAGACTACATAGGAGGATGGTGAAGTGGACTGAAAACTGACTGAACTGCCAGGCTTAAAGTGGTGTGATCAGAGGCACAAAGTCCAGCTGGAGGCTGTCACTATTGGTGTACCCCAGGGGTCAATACTGAGCCCAACACTATTTAACCTCTTCATTAATGACCTGGATGTTGGGACAGACTGCAACCTCAGCAAGTTTGTAGATGATATGAAACTGGGAGGAGTGGCTGATAGACCAGACAGTTGTGCTGTGATTTAAGGCAGGCTGGAGAAGTGGGTCACCAGGAGCCTCAGAAAGTTCAACAAAGGGAAACACAAAGTCCTGCAGTTGCGGAGGAATAACTCCACATATGTGTACAGGCTGAGGGCCAGCCAGCTGGAAAGCAGCTCTGTAGACAAACACCTGGAAGTCCTGGTGGAGAAAAAGTGGAATGTGAGGTGCCAATGCACCCTTGTAGCAAAAAAGCCGATAGCATTCTGAGCTGCATTAGGAAGAGCACTGCCACCAGGTCGAGGGAGGTGATTCTCCCCCTCTGCTTAGTGCTGCTGAGACCATATCTGGAGTGTTATGCTCAGTGTTGGGGTCACCAGTACAAGAGAGATACGGGGGGAACCAGGGAAATGGCATGAAGATAAGGACTTGGAGCATCTGACAGGACTGGTATGGGTTGCCCTGAGTGGTTGTGGAGTCTCCATCCTTGGAGATGTTCAGCAACTGACTGCGTGTGGTCCTGGGAAAACTGCTCTCCTTGATCCTCTCCGACCAGAGAGACTTCCTAGTTAGGCTTCCAAATCAACAGCCTGTTTTTCAAGTATGTTTTATGCCTACTTTGTTTCAAGGGCCAAACCATGTTTCAGTGGGACTTTTTTTTTTTAAGTTCAACCATGCATTACCTGGTAAACGGAAGAGTAAAATCAAACATTTTCCTACATTCAGACTTAACTGTGTCTTTAACTGATTCAGTAACTGCTACTGTTTAGGGAAGAAAATATAAAGGAACCTGGTGGTTGTGTTGTCAGTGTGCCAAACTATCATTTGCAATGTATCAAGAGTAGATACTAAGGTAATTCACATCATTAATGGTTTAAGGCACAATGTAAGCATTATTCTGTAAGCATCCTATGAAAACAGGATATGTCATGATGTAAGCATCATCCAAAATTATGCTGCAATTAAATTCCAAAGGGATTCACACCTCTTCCCTGAGGGACTAAATAATGACAGGCTAAAATTTATGCAAGAGTATCAATCTAAATATGAAAACAGGTATCCCAGACAACATAAAGCAATTCATGGAAACAGAAAGATGCAGTCAACATTTCTAATCTTTATACATATATAATGGGAGAAAGGCTAAGAGTTAAAACAGAAATGTTCGTAATGCAGACTACAAAATAAAAGGCTCTTGACCTTATTAACACGTGGGGAGAAAAGACTTAGGTAGTTTTTCCTTCTGAATTTGGAAAGAAAGGTTGCGCAAGCTTTACTTTCTAAAGGATAAATAAGACTGTCGTTTAAAGATAATAGCTTAACAAGGCTATGTATGTAGTAGGCTACAATATCTACTAAAATATTTCTGACTGTGAGATAAAGGAGGATCTATGAAATTCATGTCCAGAGTGGCTGTCATATATCCATGTGTTATCTGCTGGTGTTTCAATATGGATCTGTATGATGTTGTAGTTCTTTCTGAGGCACAGAGAAAGAATTATGATGTAAGACACATTCCCTTTTTTATTTCCCTGAACAGGGAAATTTTTTCATGTTTCTGTATTTTTGGATGATGCATTCTGCAGCTGCTTCTCCATCCTCCAGCACAGTCTCTATTTCGCATTCCTGTGTAGTCTTTTTAACATTTTGGAGGGGATGGCTTTTGTTCACGAGTTCATAAAGACAGGACAAATGTCCCTAATTTTCCTTTTCTTTGTTATTTGGAGAGTACTAAGTCTAAAAGTCACAATGATTGATCGGTTCCAGTCCAGGACTTCAAGGACATAGCTGGACTCTTAGAACAGCTGCCTGAGACTGGTGCAACGTTCACGGTGTTCTTTGTATCTAGCATTATTCATGTATTGAATCAAGCCAGGAATCAAATACATTGATTTTTAACATTGCTGTTAGCTGAATTACTTAGTCAAATCTGCAAGCAGCACTAGGTGTTTGTTAGGTGACTGTCATGCACAATTAGTTCATTTATATAAATCTTTTCAGAAATATTGATTGTTTTCATGGTTGGCTTCATACAATTACAAATCGTGAGTAAGGTAGAAGAGAAAAATAGCTTAATGATCTGAAAGTAAGATAAGCACAGATTCACTTTTTTCAGTTAGAAAAATTGCTTATCACTAGATTATTTAAAAACACATTAAACATTTTTCAGACACATACTTTTAAATTACCCTATCCAAGATAGACAGTATCTCAAGTTAGAAGATAAATAAGAATAGCCATGTACCTTTGCAGATTTTCTTCTGCCAGTGACTTTTGAGTTGCTTTAAAATCATAAGTTTGAAAATTTTCAAGCTTTACGAGTAGTTACTTTTTCAACCTCTTGCACTCAAAAAAACCCCTGAAAAACTCAAACTCAGCAACATCCCCCTCCCCAATATTTATAATATAAATAGATAATTTCCCTGGCAAAGTTAATAGCATTTTCTAGACTGAAAGCTGGAATAACTTGCACTATCACTAATATTAGTAATTGTATTGAAATAAAAGCTACTGGAAAAGCAGTTATCAGTTTTGCAAGTTTTGCTTAAAACTGATATTTACTGACATTCACAGTATCTAAAGTTTATTAAATGCCTATTGTAGGTTAAACAATAGACTAGTTTGAAACATTCAATTGTTTATTACTACCATGTACACAAAGTAACCAGTAAGCTATTTCTCTTAAAGTCTCTGTTACTTTAGAAAGATTGTTCTACAGACTTTCCTCCCATGTTAAACTTCACTGTTTTATGGAACAGAATACAAAATCTACTTGTTACCTGTAACCTGACCTTTTTTGCAAGGTGGTGACCAGGATCCCTTTCAGGACTGGCTATAGACATGTTAGTTCTGTCAAAAAAGCTATTTCTTTGACAGCAAATATGTACTATTTATTCTTTAAGCAGAACTTTTTGAAAACCTTTAGCACAAGCATAGGTCTGATTTCCTGAAGTAGCAGGTATGTTTTATTCAGTTCTCCCCATGTACCTCAGATCTGCTCTGCAGTTCTAAGCTTAGTCTACTTTAGTGCTGAAGATGCCACTTACTTTCAGGTTCTGCAGTGTGGACAATGTCATCCTTTGTAAATATGTGAGGCAACAGAATTCCATTAAGTTCAGAGAGAAAGCACTTAAAAGAAAATCTCACAAAAAGCATGCTTTCAAGAAACACGTTCATTTACAATGAGAATAAAGACTATCTCTAACCTGGGCTATGGAATCCAAACAGAAATCCAGACTGCATTTACAGCTCTGCTTTTAATATAGCCTTCTTAAATAAATTTGAATGTAACTGCTTATCCACGGTTGTGCAACACAACTGGGCTTTGCTAAGGGAGCATGCATGGGATCGTTTAGAGCTGCATGCAGCTGAGGAGGTAGCAGCTTAGGTGTAGCTGCAGTGGGTGTAGTTCCAGATCCAAAATTGGAGGTAGAGCTGTGGACAGGAAGGAGATCCAGACTCTGCAGGGTCACTACGTGTTTTCTAGCCTTCTGAATGTCCAGTGTGGGCTTGAGAAGAGCCTATTGCGGTGTCTGGCAGGGAACTGAAAGATAGGGGCTAGTTGGGAGAGCACCCTTCAGTCCCATTGCTGTCTTTTTTTAAGTAAGTCTGTGCTCATTTGTAGAACTTTTTGTGAGAAGGACATAGCCTAGGGCTGCATTATTACTGAATTCAAATGAAAAATAAACCTTTCAAGAATGGAGGAAAGCCCTTCTTCAGGAACCGTGTTTGTAACCGTAATAAAGCAAGTGTTTAATTTACCTGCTAGTATGAGAAGGAAACAGAAGCCTTTTTTGTGTGTTCTTGCTGCATAATATATAGCTGATGCTTTTCGTAAAATACCTGAAGTACCTCGATACCAGAATAGGCACTTTAAAATCTACTTACGATCCACAAATGAAGTGAACAGCATTCTGAATCTGCTTAGTCTACTGCCTTCATCTGCCCACATTCGTACCACACCTGTCCCAGTCTGCAGCGTGACATCATTTGCTACAGTGCTGCAAAACTTTGCCTTCAGGTTTTCAATAGAACTACTTCCATCATACACAGCAACGAAGTTTCTTTTGCATTCATTTGAATGCTCCATTTGATAGTCGAGAAATCGCAAATAAATCTGTTAGAAAAGAGAAATTAATGTCTATAAGAAAAGTAAACAGAGAAGACAGTTTTTCTTTCTTAGCAAATCTTGAATAGGATGTTTTGTCCCCTTACATATATGCATAACTCCCAATTCACAACACTTTTAAACTTGTATTTTCTCATTAAATGTCATTGTGGAGCATTACTTGAAATTTGTCCTAAGTGTCTGTTTCACTTCTCCCCCCTCCCCAAAACAATCTTTACTTAATAATTTACTCTGATGTATTTCTGCTCCCCTTAGAAAAAAGTAAAAACCAACACACTTGCTGAAGAAAGCCCTAAGCAGCTTTGCTAAAGATGCAGTCTATAACTCTAGAAGAGATATGAGAAACACATAGATGTGCTGAAAGAATTTTAATGATATTTTGACTGTTCTCTTTTCTTTCTTTTTAATTCATAAAAACAATGTTAAAATATAAGGGAAGGAGTCTAGTCAGAAAAGCTCTGGATTAAAATAAGGAAATTAAAATTTGTTGCTTCAGAATGAAAGCTAATTACTGAACCACAGCAGTGTTATCTAAGACATAAACCATGAAGTCAGGAGTAATTTGGATAAAAATGGAAGCAGGAGAAAAGTAAGCTGTCTATCTAGGAAGAGTTAATAAGTTTACACCGATCTTAATTCCTCCAAAAAGCAGAAATCTAATCCAAGAGAAAGCAGCATATGTGTTAGAACATATGCAGCAAGGAAATTAGACCAAGATGACACTTGAAAAGTAAGCAAATAATTTATTTTGCTGGAGCTGGAAACTTGTGCAAGACTGTAATTCAGTTAGAATTACATTAAAAGATCACAGGGCTTTTTAATCTCTTGAATGGTTCCATTGGAATTCTCAAAATTGTAGTGGAAGTTGATGACATATGTAACTAAGTCATCTAAGCATGCTGCAAAGTCCATCTTCAAACTTCAGAAATTCCTCAGATAGCCATTATTTTGACAGAGAAGAAAACTGTCCCTGTGGAGGCTGAGGTCTCCTGCCCTGTGGGAGAAGAGGTGCTCCTCCTCTATCCATGAGGTCTTCAGTATGTTCCTCAGATAAGCTTGGGTCTAGACTATGTGTTTTGAGTACAGTTTACAATGACCTCTCTGGATGACACTATGGATTCTAAAGACCTTTTGCACAGGGCACTTTTTCATGCGTCTGCCTCATGACAAGAATCTCAAACTCTTGTTTAGTCTGTGATGCAGGGAAGACAGGGCAGATGAATACCACGGTTACTAATGCTATGTTACCTATTTTTCTGCTCTTTTACTGTATCTTACTTTTAACCTCGGCTAGTGCCAAAGCCTTTTAAAACCGATTTTTAAAGAATTCGCTAAAACAAAACGAACCACCTTTGTGTGCAGGGTGGGGGAAGATACCCTCCATATACACTTAACAGGCTCTATTGAAAACATGGTGCAAGAGCACAGGAAAAGACAGGTTACACCTCTACACCCTGGCTTTTCCTTTCCAGTGTTTTCCAGAGGCAGGTTGCCAGCACTGTCTCCCCTTGCACATTCTATGAAAAGGTGCAGCCTGTGCCGTATTATCTCATATTCCCATCTCACTATTTTGCAATTTTCAGTATATATATATTTTTTTTTTTCCTTTTCTTTTCTTTTTGCTGCTGTCTTTTGTTAGATTTACTGCCAGAAATTCTCAGCTACATTGAGAACCTGTCTTCTGTTGATGTCTTATCTCATAAGCATGGGTGTGAGCTGTAAGTGCTAGTATTTGGGCTGAGAGATGGTATTTTCATTTAATGATTGACTTTATATATCTGCTGTGAAATTACAATGGAAGCTAAAAATAAATTAGCACACTTTTAATAGAGCTATTCTGTGTATAAAAACAAAGGAATAATTCCATTAAAAGAGTTCAGCTCCACAAAACCTCCTTCTGGTTAGTGTTAGGCAAATAAATATAAAAGGTCCTCACTCTTACCTTATATTGATTTTTATAGTAATTTTCTGAAATCTGGAGGTAATTTATTAAATATCTGCTATGCAGATTTTAGAAGTCCTTTCATTGCTGCAGTTGTCAGTTTTAAAAATTTATTTTTAATACAAAATCAAATTGATGAAATTAAAAATGTCTACGCTTATTTTTCTTAAGAGACTGCACTGTATCAGATCTAATGGATTTTATCACCATAATTCTGCCAGAATTGAAGCTCGAGAAACCACTGTCAGAATACTAAGAATTATTTTTCTGTAATGTTTTAACCAATAATTTAGGATGATGATCTAATCTCAGGACTGATCCAACTATAACTCTGCCTTCTGGCAACACTCAATAATTTATTACAATACTGAAGCATAAGACCTGGTGCACTCAAGTGGCAATGTAGAGAGAAAATGGTTTTATTATTGTTTCTGGAAGAACGACTATTACTTAGACTAGTATGGGGCTCTTGGGAGTTAAGGGCTCAAATATATTAATGGAGTTTTAGTTTCTTTCTTGTCTTGTCCTCTTATTAGCATCTTTTAGGTTGCTGGTTTGGAACTAATTTGGAAGTTGGTGAGTATGGTTGGTTAGTTAACTATTAGGAGTGTGTAAGTAGGCATGGAGTAGGTTTGTCCCCTTAGCAGCTACTGCTTAAAAATATTTTTTTAATTTTTATGTACATGCAAGCAGTGGTATGTGCTTTAATATACATACAGAAGCAAAATTACAGATGTGTATACTATATGGAGAAAAAATATGTATTCTTCAGTGCAACTCGTAAATAATTAACCAGTATATGATTCTGAAACACATAGCTGTTGAGTTTTTTTAACAGGCTATAGCTATTGTATTTTGGAAGTATGAATAAGATTTTATCCTTCTCTCTGCTCAACAATAAAGCTCAGGTTGTTTTTAATGAGCATAAGATAGCGATGTTTTCATAAGCAGTCTCTAATTCTGCAGGCACAATCATAAATATCAGGTACCTAGGTGACTAATGCTGATTTTTGGCTCAAGTAGCTAATATGCCCCTTTAGGGCTTGGGCAGAAAAGCTCTAGCAAATTCTGTTGTGGCGCTTTAAGGGGGTGTGATCCTATAGTGAAGTCAGAAGAGAAAGAGTGATAATTCCTCAGCTGTTTCCAGGTAAAGCCTTTCATTTTAGCTCAGACTGCTGATGAAAGTGGATTTTAAGGTGCTGGATTGTGAATTAGACTGGGGAGGAGCTGGTACATCTTCTGTTGACTTTGAACAGAACCAAATTCTCCAACAGAACCACTGGAGGCAAAATTTTAAACCATGGCAGCAAGATTTACTGGAATTTATCAAAGCTGTTAGCGTTTTTGCCTGCAGCCTTCTAATAAAACCAGAGTCCAAGTCAAATGCCCTTGAAAATTGTTGCTTAAACAGTTTTCACAGTTACTTTGTATTTTAAGTTTCAAATAATAGGAAGACAACACCGTGGACTTGCTGTGTAAGTTTAATTTCAGAAACAATCCTCTATCTGGATTTCCTAAGCCACTGATACATAATTCATTTCAGTAAAAGTGAGACATTATGCAAATCACAGCTAGTGACTACTACCTGTTACTAATGACTTGGAAACCTGTTATATGCTGAATGATATGAATGAAACCCACCTTAGCATTTGGAGTAGCTTTAATTGTCCATATGCAGTCAACTGCTTGTCCCGGTTTTGTTTTTCCTTCTTGCTCTACTTGACTGGAACGTACTATTCCATCAGCTCCTGAGAGCTCAAACTGGCAGTCTAGGGAGAAGATATACCTTGCTGTCAAATGCAATAGGATATTAATTTAAAATTTCATGTATAAAGAAATTACTGTAATACTAGACCTGGGATGGGATTTAAAATACCTCCTAGGTAAGTGAAGTCAGGATCTGTAATAGAAAGAAGTCATGAATCACAGGGGCTATCAGTGCTTGAGAATCACTTCAAGGTTTAGTATAATCTGAAGATTATGTCCATTTTTTATCATGTCACAATAAAAATTGCCAGAAAGTTTACTGAATCAATTGGACAGTACAGACAAATTTTTTTTTTTTGATGACAGCATTATTCCACAAAGATTGACCTTACCTGAATAAGAATTCCAGCATAACACCAAAAATTACTATTTGGTATTTTGTTCCTACATTACATTCTGAATGTAACTATGCCAGTTTGCACTGAAGTCACTGGAGCTCCACAAGAGTACAGGGTGCTGTGCTTCTGTGTGCATCATCTTTATCGGATTGTTCAGAACTAGACAGAGAGCAATCTGAACTGCAGTAGTTTAGTAGCGTATATCAACACTTTGAAATTGCTAATTGCTATTAATAAAGAATATAAAGAAGGACAGTTCAATACTAAAGATACTTTTTCCTTGGGTACCCATGCCTCTTCTATTAGGCCAGGTAGCACAGTTCCAGGCATTGTTTATGAAGGCAGAATTTCACCTTGATTGCTCTTGTATCTCCTTTCTTCTAAATGTGACATGTAGGTAGCGTATGTATCTGTGGTATATACTGTAGTAGTATACTGTATGCATACTACTAGTGAAGTAAGAATATACTTTTTCATAGTGGTTAACTGATGGGAATTGACTTTACTGGGACTACGGCTTAGCTAAAAATTAGTGTGTAATGGGCTGGGATGTCCAAGGTTTACATTTCAGTGATCATGTTAGTGTCTCCTCACAAATCAGCATAGAAACTCGCAAGATGCACCCAGTCACAGCTGTGGCATAGAAAATCACCACAGAAATTGTGCAAATCATAGTGTGTCTATGTGTATGAAATGTTAGTCTATGCAAAGAAAGCACTAGTTCATGCAAAAGTGCATGCCTGCTTTGTGCAAAATTCTTTTCTAAATCAAGAACCAGAATTTGGCTCTTTCTGTGATCCTCTAAATGTTTTTCTGTATAGGGAGTTTGTCACTTCCCCTAAAATGCCTCAGTCCTGAGCTTAAGACTCAGTACAGTCGAGAAAATGCTGCCTTTGCCCTTCTCTGTTTTAGTTACCTATAGTGAAATCTATGATCACTATATGCAGAGTTCTGTGAGACTTTCAACCTTCTTTGTGAACGGATTTTTTTTTTTAATGAAGTGGGGTGTACGTACATGTCCCCTTCCATTTTTGCAATCCCAAAATATTTTACCATACTCTATGTAAATGCAGAGGAAATAAAAATATCAGTCCTTCAGTTGCTGCAGTCCATTGTGAAAATAATATACAGTTTAAAGTTCCAGCCTGGAACTATCATAACTTAGTTCTGAAAGGGATGTTAATGAAACGGCTTTGGAAATGGACTTAGCAACATGCCTAAGTACTGTCCCTATGAAAACATGTTAGCACGTTATTCCCAGTGGACTGGTCATCATGTTAATCTGAAGAGTTTCCAAGTCTAAATCCCTAGTAAGGTATACAGTTCTATAAGCATTAACACATAATCATGTATAGTGTTTTCATGTGCTGCAGGGCTAAAGACCAGTTGGGTGAAGATGACATTAAAAAGTTATGCCTGTGTATACATTTATAGTAGCAGCAGAGCTGACATTTGTATATTGTCTTTTGTCCCAAAGGACGATAAAATGCTGGTAACTACACATACAGTAGTATCTATGAAGTACAGCAGTCAAGCATTGCACAAGGACATCAGGTCAAATTTTCTTGTAAAAAGAATGCCCTGCCAGTGTTAAGTGGCCCCACAGAGCAGATGTACTTTTTGTTTGTCTAAAGGCACTGTCAGCATATTATCCTCTCCTTCATACCCTGTAAACTACACAGTGCTTTGAGCAAAGAACAATTCTGTTGTCTGAGCCTGTGGTTTAAGGGAATCTAGTTATACTGAGAGCTGATGCTTGGACTGTATAGGTATTTCCTCTGGCTTTTCAGAACGGAGATGTAAAATGGTTTGCATCTGGCTGGAAGATTGCTGCTATTGTAGATTGGCTTCAGGTGTTTTTGTCGTAGTGTCTTACATTCCTAGAAGACAGGTTGTTGGAAATGCCAGCTATTTGTCTACATTTGCTCTTTCCATTACTAGCACTGGTGAAACTGGTACAAGTTAAAGTAACAAAGAGGGAAGTTGCTGAAGCCTTCTGCATGAACAAGATCAACTGACTTCTTCACTAGCAAACTACAGACCAGTAATTTCCTTCAGTCAGTTTTTCAAAGTGGTTTTAGTCAAGTGTGATGGAATATAGCTCTAGACTGCCAGCATAAACACATCCACAGAGTTCAATGGGAGCAGATGGTCAGTAACTTGGTCAGAATTTTAGGCATCTTTACCTGGTATAAATGAGTACTTTGCTTGAAATCCCTTTCCTTCCAGTTCCTCATCAGAAGTAAACTTGATCCACATAAATCTCCCTGTTGATCTAATTAGTGCAGGACTTTTCAGACCACAATAACGATTAATGAGTGGGGAGAAACCAAAAGGTCCATCTCGAACCTCCAGATGATCAAACCGACATTCAAATGAAGGTTCTATGTAATAAGGTTCATCAAAGGTCAACTCAATTCTTTGTCGTGGAGCAGCTAGGCAGAAAAAGTAGAGCAAAAGATTAAATGAAGATCTATAAAAAAAACACATGAAGACATGAAATAATGAAGAGACAAGCCTCCAAAACAGCAAGACAAAAGAGAGACTGGAAACTTCTCAAAATACATCTGGCAGTCTGCTACAAAAACTCAGATCTACTGTAAAAAAAATTTTAAAAATGATTGTGTAGAAGATACTTTTTAATGGAATTTTACTAATTTTTTTGCTTGCTGATCTTTATTGTTGAAAATTGAGAGATTGCATAAATTTAATGCAGCACATGTAACAGATATTAACATAGATGCAAAGGTATTCAAATAAGGTTTAATACTAAGATATAAATTAAAGCCAGTGGTCTGTGAAAGCAAAGTACATAAAAAAGGACAAAACATTGAGGGATGCAGAAAAGAATGGAAAAGAAAAAGATAGGAAGAACTACTCACTGGTGTATTTCCTAAACATTAAGCCCAAATTTGGAGATCCTTTGGCAGGAGACATCTTTTATTAGAATATTTAGAGAAGCAAAAATGCTTCATATATATTGTTAATATGGAGGTGACTACAGATGTTAGTAAGTCTGACCCAGTGACAGCCTAACATCAGGATTTGGATCAGACCCCTAAATCCTGATGAGATGCAGCTATGGCTACTTTGTGCCTGGACTTTCACAACTGTAGTTTGGAACTGTGACTTTATATTGTATGAATAGCTTTAGTGTTTCTTGTTCTTGTCATCTGTTGAGCTACACGAACTTTCAGATACTAATTAGTATTTGGAATGACAGCATTAAAAGAATCCCATGCTGTCTGCTTCTTCTGAATGCAAAAAGGATTTACTTGTATGTCTCTTAACACTGTTTTGACCCTATGCCTACTTACACACGAGTTAAAACACTCGTAGCTGTTCGCACATACTGGCAGTGGTCTGCAGGAGAGACCATATCTTAGCTAGAAATTGTGGAGGACCTTGGTCTCGCTCAGGTACCCATAATGTTTCTGTGTAAAGACTGTGAGGACAGAGGTCTGAAAACTGACTCTGTGCCCATGAAAGCTGCCTTGAGCAAGGGAGATCCAGCGGTGGATCAGTTATGTCCGAACTCTGAGGCTGGACAGGGTATCTGCTCTCCAGTGCCTTCACTGGCAGGGAAGATGCAAAACTTCAGATGTGCATGCATACAGGCGAAAATGAGGCTGTCTATGAACCAGTACTATACTGTACAAATAAAAACTTACTGAAACATATTACTTGAAATATTTCAATTAATTGATATGAATCTGATGATTAAGCTGACTAACCTTTTTAGCTGACTTCAGTTGGTTTGAGTGCATTCTAATAAGATGAAAAAATAATTAGTGTGTCCCAAGGCTTGCAGCCTTTATCCAAGATATTCTCACTGGAATGTGGTTTTATTCTAGTTAATGAAATTTTTTTGTCCTCATGAAATTATTTTAATAGTGACCTCAGCAGTGCTAACAAATCTCCATATTTTTAGTACAGTGCTATGGCAGTCAGATTTGTCTTTTTTATTCATAAAGGACACCATAAAGATCTTCTGCTTGTGAGACAGACTTAGAATAACACAGTACGGTCTGGTAAATGCTGAAGATGGTCTTCCACCATCTTTTGCAGTTTATTATCAGTAATATTGTAAGTGATATTAAGGTAACAAGCTACAATTTTTATCTTAATAGTTCTGTTCCTTCATAGATTACAGTAGACCTGATGCTGCTTTTCCTGGCTGTTGAGGGTATGTCTTATTCTGTATAGCTAATTCCTGAATGTTTGCATTTTCTATTAATTTGTTATTATTACTTCAGAGAGCAAATTTAGCTTCTTGTTCAACCAAATGACTGCAGAATTGATTATATTACCAGTATGGCTATACTTGACAGTATAGTAAAATGACACAGTTTTAACAGTTTAGCATTATCCATTTAACAGTAAGATTACAACACAACAAAATGGAAATACAGCATGTACCTTCTAAGATATAGATGCACTCTTGATTTGGTGGGTACATATTAGGGTAGTTTGGTGAAGCAAAATGTCCTCCATTACTTGTCCGTACCCAGTTGTCACACTGGGTAGGAGGAATGCGATTCACTCCAATATTTTGCCCACCTTAAGCAAAAAAACAGTGATCAAATAAAGTTCTCCTGCAAGCATGCAAATTTGATTTTGCAAAAGTAAAACACTGACATTAACGCGTATCCTTTAAAAGAAGAATGTAATTTATTTTGGCCGAAAACCCTCTTCTGTGACACTTGTTAATATCTAGCTAGGAAAATCTTAGCTTAATTTAGTGATGTGGTATATCCTAAAGAGATCACAGTTTTTGAATAGCAAATATGTCCAGTAATCCTTGGGAAGGGAAGAGAGGGAGTAATTTTTCTTTTTACCCAAGACAGTTTAGATTTTTGATGCTCTTCTTTCTAAGTCAAATAGGCACAGTGGCTGCCAGTACAGCAGCATTATTTTTGGCTTACGTCTTCTCCGTTCCTATGCAAATATAATCCAAAATATTTGTTAGCTTTTACTATTTTTGCCCGATTCCAAAGTATACTGAAGTACATGGTCCTTAAGTTGAGTATCTATTTACAATAATTTGTTGGAATATAGAATGCTTGTAACAGAATGAATTATAATATGTAAATACACTAAATACAGTAATGGTAATTAATAAAATTACTAGCAATAGGTAGGCTGCACCAGTAGCTAAGGGTCTCATTTAAGATCAAAGCTCCTCTTCTGGGTGTACAGGGAAATATGATCGTTGACTGAGATTCTGCAGTTTAGTAAACTAGTGCACCATGCTGGACCATTTGCAGGGGCTTTGTTAGTTCGGATTTCCTTATCCAAGGCGAAAGGAACTGGGAATAGTATGATCTCTCTGACATTCTTCTTAAGTACCTTTGGCCCTTTTCCTTGGTATCAGCAGAACTGGAGAGAATAAGACACAGGATTATGTAGCTTCTGCTAGGTTCTTCCTAAATCTCACAGGGTCCTCTCATAATGTTATTTATATTCACGCAGTTTTTCTTCACAGACCTTTGAGAGGAGTCTGTGCTGATACAGGTCTTAGCTGCCTCCAGTAAATTACATCACCTTCCACTGGTATCTTGACAGCTTTTTGATTTATGGGGGTGAAAACTTAGTCTCTCCTGCAGAAATTGTTCAAGGAAATTTTGTAGGTGTCAATTCAAGGAATTCTTCTCTCCTAAGTGTCGGTTAATCCCACATATGAGGAAATAAGGTTTGTGAAGCTGATGCCTTCCCCACTCAGCAGGTTTCAAAAATGTTTGTGGGTGGACTATTTGAAAAGCTTGTTGTCAGACGCAGAAAACATGAATTTTCTGTGGTGGGTTTTTTCCCACCTCTAAGGTCTAAAACCATAGAATTTTAACTGGGTAAGTGAACTTCCATTTTCTTTGTGACAGGATGGCTTTGTTCAATTGGAAAAAAAATGTAGTAAATAGGGGGGAAAATGGAAAATACTGGAATTCATATTGGTAATTCAAAAGCTATTAATACCTGAACACAAATACTTTCTTTCACTTATATTGCTTAATTAAAAATTATAAAACTGTTACATTTTTTGAAAGAAAATAATCAAACCAAAATTGTACCTTGTGTCTTCTGGGCAATGGCAATCCCTTCCACTACAAGGATTGTTACTAGCAACACTGATAAGAGAAATTGGACAGGAAAAACATCAGTAATTCATTAAATTATAGACCACTTTCCGCAGTCCCAATTCATGCAAATCCTACAATCACTAACCAAAACAACTCTGAACATACAAAAATACATAACTCATTTATGTGCTTTCTTAAAATTTCAGCTTTAGGAAACCAATGCAGTCAAAGTGCGCTCTTGGTTCTTCTTCCAGGTTCCTTAAGAAAGCGTATATGATAATAGCAATTTATTGTTTGAGGGGACTTTAATAATATTTTCTAGAGTATCTACTAATTTGCAAGCATTTTATAAAATTACATGGCATCTATCTCACATATAATTTTTATATCCTGAAACAAGATGTTTCACTGTTATATTGAACCATATTTATCCTAAAACTCTACTTGCATAACATGTACAAAAGACTTCTCCAGCTTCCAAGAAATTAATCAGGACAACAGGAGACACTGCATGGTCTTATCCCTACCTGGATTTCAGGAGCACTATAGAATTGTGCTTGCAAGACTGGTTGTTGTGATGCTGCCACAATACCAGTGATTTCTGCAAATGATGTGGCAGTAGAAAATGAGCAGATGCAAGTTCTAATGATGGAGAGACTAAGTCTGAGCAGTGACAACAGCTAGGATGTGGACACCATTAGGATGTACACTGTTGCAAGCACTCTGGTTTGCTGGAGTGTTGTACTAGTCGCAGGTGTTGGTAGCTGCTGGTGTTTTCTGTATTTGAATTGACTAAATATTGGACCTCTTAAAGATTCTATCATACTCTTTGCTTCAACGCTTGCTCTTCTTCCTTCCTTTCCTAAAAAGCAGCTGTCTAAATGGTTTTGCTGTTGGCCTTTCCCTTATGTTTACACACTCCTTGCACCCAAGAAGCGTGTCTGAACAGCAGGTATTAAAGATTCCACATTCCACTATTCATCAACAGTTTTAAAGCAGGCTTAATGTCCAGATTTTCCTGAAATGCTTTGTCTCCTCAAATTGTTAGGGATTACCAGGAAGGGAAAAGAGGCTGAAGTAGAGTATTATATAATTATGCCACTCTTCAAACCTTTCATTTGCTTCCATCTTGAGTACCTCTACAATTTTGGACACGTATCTTACAGAACTAGCGAAGTAGGCTAGGACTGTTTGCCCTGGACAGAAGCTGGCTGAGGGGAGATAGGATACAAGTCATAAAATCACAAGTGTCTTTGATGTGGTGAACAGAGAGCAACTAATTGTCGTCTCTTCTAATACACGAACCAGGGGGTTATCAGACAAAGTTAGCAAGTGGCATGTTCAAAGTAAACAAAGATTATTTTTTTTTTTGATGCACATACTTCATAATGCATCCTTGAAGTAGAAAATCCTGCTTCAAAACCCCTTAAGCTGTAAGTTGCTGGAAGTCTGGCATAGTATTTGGTGCAAATATAATTTGCTCTACTTTATACTCTTTCTGCTTTTATATCTCTCTGAAAGAAGATACCAGGCTAGACGGACCTTTGACTTGACCTGGCATGGCCTTTCCTGCATTCTTAATCTACTGGTTAATACTAAGTTAGACAGGCATCGCCTCACCACTGAAAAAAAAAAATTTCAGCAGGAAAAAATTGTCACATTCAAGAAGTTCATTTTATTTTCCCAGTCTTCCCCTCTCATTGCTCAGGCATTTTAGTGGCCTGTGCTGAAACGACGTTTTCTGTATCTGTCACTTTCCCTGTGTTGCTGTTACAACTTTCAGCCTTTTAGAGCGTTCCAGAGCGAGTATGCATTAACTGTGAGCTACGGTGATCTTGACCAAACTCATCTAGATGCTACTGTAATGTTCGCATAGATATATTATCTTGGGGAAGGACAAAAGGAATCAAAGTCTGCCCCTGAAAGTGTCCATCTATCTAGCATTTGTGGTTTATTATGTATATTTCTACTGCCCTTTCTTCTCTCTACCCATATTAAAACAGACTGTAAATCATGAGACTTTCCTCACCAACAACTGTTTTTTCCCTTGTAAGTCGAGTTCACAACTGTGGGTGTTCTAAAATACCATATGGGTCTTGCAAACAAGTGTCACATTCCTAGAAGCTTATGTGATTTTTAGGGATGGATTGTGGGATAATAGGTTAAGACTTAGGTAGTTTTGCAACTTCCCTCTTCGCAATAATTCTGCATTTTCATCAGTATTAATACACTGAAAAATATACTTCCTAACTATCATTCTCCCAATACAAAGTATCACTCGTTAATCATTGCTGACTTGCCCTAGATTGAAAATTCCTCCCTCAGAAGAAAGTATCTAGAACCCATTTCTGGTCTTCCAAGTTATGGATGCTCACTAGTCTTTAAAGCAAATAAAATAAACAAATATCCCATCTTTATTAAGACACAATTGACATTAGTTTTCAGATATTTTTAGTTTTTAATATTTCTTATATAGATGCTACTATTTCAAAATTATTTGCAGTTTATTTTTGTGACTTCTGTGTTCAAACTGTGCACTCAAAGATCTGAGTTTAAGTGCATGAACATATAATGCATTTGTACTCCTGCGATCACTTGTCCCTAATGGAGAAGCTTGATAGTGTATTTGTATTAGTCTCTGTATTTTCTTCATCTTTTTTTTTTACACTGGTTTTGGAGCAACACTTCAAAGTTGGCTATAGTGTCAAAGTTCCCACAATCCTATGTAAATCATGTGTCAGTATGTTCTTTATTGAATTAACGTTCCTTAAAGATGTGCTATGCCCGCCCTCTATTTTGCAAGGACATACCAATCTCTTTATAACTTGTGCTGCTGCTTAAAATGCGAAATGGGCTTTGTTGTTTTTTCTTAAAGCAAACACAGAAATATGAGTAAAATAAATACTTTCATGACTAACAAAATTAATGCAGATAGTCACTTTCAAGTAACAGTGAAAAATCTGGGGTTTTGTGGTTTGTTTTGTGTTTGTTTTTTTTAGTACAGCTATCTGCTATGGCTAACACTGTTACAGTATACCTTTTTTTTTCTTTTTCACCTTTAAAATATCAGTAAGCATCTATGTTTATTTCATTGATTGTGCTCTCTTATACAGATAGAGACAGCCTAAGAATGGATGTTCAGTTACACTAACCAGTGATTTTCCTTCTTGAAATGATGCGGCTACAGAAACAAGTCTCCTAAAAGGACTTCAGAAAATCTGACTGGCTTTCACTAAAGCCTGTGCTGGTTCTATTAATAGTTCAGAGCTGTGCATATGTGTGTAAGTGCAAAAGAACAGTGCATATTTCCAGCAGAACAGCATGGATATGCAGGCAATTACAGAAGATAAATGGGCTCAATATTTGTCTTACTGTCTTCCTTTTGTCATGTTATATGGATGAGTGGATATAGTAACTATGGGCCACCTTCTCTTTGTTCCCTGCCCTTTTCATCCTCTTCATTTTTAATCTCTTCCATCTCTTGCCTTTCCCTGGCAATGCCTATCCTTCTCATGCTCTCAACAACCCTTAAGATGTATTCAAAGCAGCCCAGGTAGCAAATGTTTAAGGGCCTTCCTTTGCCATTACTTTTATCCTGGGTGATAGTATGATAAAGAAAAGAGGTGTCTCTGACTAATACTCTGTATGTGTGCTGTCCTTATCTCTGTGACATTGCTAGCAAAAAGGTGGAGAGAGGACTTGTATCTGTTCTTCCTGAAAGTACTGGGCAGGGACACCTGAGGTAGTATTGCCTTAAATGGGGTGCATTTACATGACACAGTATAAATGTGGGATAGCAAACAGGAGTTTTTTGGCTGAAAACAGGGCCTATCAATGCTCAGGATGAAAGGAAAAGAAAGAGGGAAAAAGAATCAGTCAGGATATTTTTAGACCTTTTAGATTGCTTCCATTAACCCATTTTTTGTGTGTATTTCAAAAACAACAAAGCAATCACTTGGCATCCTAAATCCATACCACTTCCTGGAAAAATATTTTTGAATCTCAGAGACTAATTTGGACCATACAAGGCAGTAAGAAGGAAGGAAGATGTCCAGGGAAGAGACAGATCCTGTAGGTTAGTGCAGTGGAGAGCTAGTGCTGAACCACTGTCCTGGTACTACATGTGGCGACACAGACACAGCAATTAGAACAGACATGAGATACCGAACTACTTTCACTAAAAGTCTGGCAGCACTTTCAGAAGGATGAAGAATGATCTTGGTATTTCTGATAAACTGAAATTCAAATAGTTACAATGCACCTGAACTTGCAATGGGACACAGCATTCCTCTGCTCCTTCTTTTTTCCTCTTTTAAAGTCTATTACGTATCACTGTGATGTGACTATTCTTCAGCGTGGACGAAAGATAACTCTAGACTTAGCTCCGTATTCTATGATACAGGAAGCAGAAGTAGTAAGTATCTAAAAATGCCACTTGAACATGGCTTGCTAGTGTACGCAACAGCACAAAGAGTGCAGGATCCCATGACTGCGTTGATTATCAAAGGGATAGAAGGGTGGGCTTGATTGTTTTGTTTTTAATGGAGGAGTGTGGTGAGAATTCTACTAGAGGACACCGAAATATTGGAGACTGACCTTATAAACTTAGAGATATTTAGCTGGTAAATATAATAGAGGTTAGTGCTTCTGTACCTTATATTCAGCTTCTGCTTCATGATATGTACACTGTAGAAGAGGCTATCATTAAGGCAGCACAGCCACTGAGGCAGACAGATTAAGAGGGGCTTCTTTTATTCATGAATCTGGTATTTGCTACACTTTCATTCCATGAATTATGGTGCATACTTTTGTACTACCATTTAAAGCTCTGACAGTTTTTACCTGTGTGAACATTAACTAGAAATAAAGAAAAAGCAGCAAGCTTCTGTCTCTGTTATTAAAAGAACAGATTTTTCATTTTCTTCACTTCTTTGTGTGAAATATTTTAGATCACATAGCCTGCAGACAGCTGTATAAATTTTTAAGAGTGAAGACACTAGCCATACATTACAAATTCTTACTACTATTCTGGTGTTGAAATAGGCTTATGGAATA